AGACGGGCCCCGCCCTTTCTCTGCCCTTACCTGGTAGATCCAGTGCCTCAGTTCTCGCTGCGGGGGTCCGCGTTGCGGTTTCTCCTGCCCGGGCTGAGGCGCCATCACTTCAATTATCCAGTTCTGAGGAGCTGGATGTTGAAAGTGTGGATGCAGAGTCTATGGACTCAGTGGAGATCGGGGACTCGCCATCCCAGTCTCCCGCGAATGTAGAGCTGATGGAGGTTTTGACTCGGGCTGTGGAAAAATTAACCATTGAATGGCCAGTTGAAAAACAAGAGTCGAGGGTAAAAAGTAAAATGGATGAGAGATTTTTAAAATCACACTCACTACCTCCACGCCGGTGTTTGCCATTTTTTCCCGATCTACACACCGAGGTGTGTAGATCGTGGAACAAACCAGTGTCAGCTAGAATTTTGACACAACAGACCTCTATGTACGCTAATATTGCTGGGTCTAGGGGACACGGTTATGGGGCGATGCCGAGGATGGAGGAAGTTTTGGCGAGCCATCTTTCTCCTGAGACGGCATCGTCTTTTAAAACACCGGCGTTGCCCACCAAGCCACTCAGAAATACTTCGGTTTTGGTGGGCAAAGCTTATTCAGCGGCGGGACAGGCAGCATCTTGCTTGCATACGATGGCCATCCTCCAGGCGTATCAAGCAGATCTGCTGAAGGATATGAGCGAGGGGGAGGTCGTCAGCACTGACGTGATTAATGAGCTGCGTCAGGCGGCAGATATTTCTCTCCGTGCCACCAAGGAGACGGCCAGATCAGTCGGCCGCTCTATGGCAGCCCTGGTGGCCACGGAGAGGCATTTATGGCTAAATCTGGCTAATATGAAGGAGAAAGATAAAGCTTTTCTCCTGGATGCGCCGCTGTCGACCGAAGGTCTTTTTGGTGGTTCTGTGAACGCAGTGATTGAGAGATTCCAAGAGGGAAAAAAGCAGGCAGCGGCGCTCCAGAAATGTCTCCCCGTCCGTACTCATCCTTCGGGGGCTGCTGGGCGAGAGCAGCCCCGCCCGTCGGGTTCCTCGCATAGGGCGCAGCAGAAGAAGAGCGTCGCGTCTCGGGCTCCTCCCCAGCAAAACTGGGCTGAGACGCGGCGTTCTCAGGCGAGGTCTTCCCGGGATAGAACCGATCTGAGGACGGTTATTGTCGCCAGGAAGGCTTCGTCGAAGAAGTCCTGACGCCACTGGTGTCAGGCTACTGAGGGTGGTCCCCACCGTGAGACAGAGGTGTTCGCCGCTGAATCCGGCGCCCGCTCTCTCTCGGTGCCCTCAGGGGTTCGTTCTGCCAACCCTGCCTGTAATGGGGGGTGCAGACGGTCCCAGCGAGCGATTTCCCGAGGGACGCTCGTTTGCTCCGAGGAGCGATACAGAACGGTCGTTGAACCCTGCCTGTGCGCGGTCACAGGGCGCTGTTTCTGTTTTAGAAACTACTCCAGAGGCCAGTCTCGAGAGGCTGGTACCCTTAGTAGAATTTCTGGTAGAATGGGGAAGTCTTCCAAATATATCTCGTTGGGTCCTGCAGACTATCGAACGCGGGTACGCGATCCAGTTCAGGTCGCGTCCACCTCGTTTTCGGGGGATTTTGCCCACAGTGGTGACCCCCGAGCAGGCTCTGGTTATGGAACAAGAAGTGAAAGCTCTGCTAATGAAGGGGGCGATAGAACGAGTTCTTCCTCCCGACAGAGAGCTGGGGTATTACAGCCGGTACTTCATTGTTCCGAAGAAGGATGGGGGGCTGCGCCCGATTTTAGACCTGCGCCTCTTAAATCAGTCAGTAGGGAAGCTCAAGTTCAAAATGCTGACTCTCAAGCAGATCGTGTCACAGATCAGGTCCGAGGACTGGTTTGTCACGATAGACCTAAAAGACGCGTACTTCCATATCTCCATCCTTCCGCAACATCGGAAGTTCCTGAGGTTCGCTTTTGGGGGCGAAGCGTACCAATATCGGGTCCTTCCATTCGGCCTAGCGTTATCTCCTCGAACCTTCACGAAATGCATGGACGCGGCCTTGGCTCCGCTGCGTCTCCAGGGCATTCGCATTTTAAATTACATCGACGATTGGTTGATTCTGGCTCAATCAGAGCATCAGGCGATTCGGCATCGAGATGCCGTCCTCGCCCACATCAGAAGGTTGGGGTTGAGACTCAACGCCAAGAAGAGTGTGCTTTCGCCAGTTCAGCGGACCACTTTTCTAGGCGTGGTATGGGATTCGACGACGATGCAAGCACGTCTGTCGCCGGCTCGTATAGCCTCGATTATCTCGACTGTCACGCAAGTGAAGCTAGGCCAGTCACTCACTGTAAAGGAATTCCAGAGAATTCTGGGTCTGATGGCAGCAGCATCCAACGTGTTACCGTGCGGCCTGCTGTACATGAGACCACTACAGTGGTGGCTCAGGACCAAGGGGTTCTCCCCGAGGGGAAACCCGCTCCGCAAGATCAAGGTCACGCGACGTGGTCTCCGTGCCCTGGCTATGTGGAAAGAACCTTGGTTCCTGTCCCTGGGACCTGCGCTGGGAGCTCCGTGTCGCCGGGTAACGGTGACGACGGATGCCTCTCTCACGGGCTGGGGAGCGATCATGAGTGGTCGCTCGGCCCGCGGGCTGTGGCAAGACCATCATCTCCGATGGCATATAAATTGTCTAGAGATGATGGCGGTGTTTCAGGCTTTGAAACACTTTCTCCCAGACCTCAGAGATCATCATGTTCTTGTCCGGTCAGACAACATGTCTGTGGTCTCTTACATAAACCACCAGGGGGGTCTGCGCTCACGTCCATTGTACAAGCTGGCGCGCCAGATCCTGTTGTGGTCCCAGGGGAAACTTCGGTCGCTGAGAGCGATTTATATCCCAGGATACTTAAATCGGGGAGCGGACATCCTGTCGAGGCAGGGGCCGAGGCCCGGGGAGTGGAGACTTCACCCCGAGGTGGTGGAGCTCCTTTGGAGACACTTCGGTCGGGCCGAAGTGGACCTCTTTGCGTCCAGGGAGAACTCACACTGCCCGCTGTGGTTTTCCCTGAGTCCTCCAGCTCCATTGGGGCTGGATGCGTTGGTACAGGAGTGGCCGAGGGCACCCCTGTACGCTTTTCCCCCGATTGCTCTGCTCCCAGGGGTTCTGGAAAGGATTCGCCAGGAGGGGGCCAGTGTACTTCTGGTGGCCCCCCGTTGGCCAACCAGGGTATGGTTTGCGGACCTGATTTCCCTTCTCGAGGGTCCTCCTCTGGAGATTCCGGTCAGGAGGGACCTTCTGTCTCAAGCGGACGGGGGGATACTCCACCCCCGTCCGGAACTGTGGAGGTTGTGGGCTTGGCCTCTGAGGGGGCCCAGCTCATAGATTCAGGTCTCTCGACTGAGGTCGTGGAGACCATCCTCCAGTCCAGAGCCCCATCCACGAGGAAGTTGTATGCCTCGAGGTGGAAACTGTTCACCTCTTGGTGTGGAGAGCGACAGTTGGATCCAGTTAACTGCCCGTTGCCGGCAGTGCTGGAATTCCTTCAGGAACGCTTCTCCACAGGGTTATCGTACTCCACACTAAAGGTGTACGTGGCGGCCCTATCCGCTTACCATGTCCCTTTGAGTGGAGCTTCTCTTGGGAGACATCCCCTGGTAACCCGTTTCCTTCGTGGTATCCTGAGGCTGAGGCCGGTAGTGCGTACGAGGGTACCGACCTGGGATCTAGCGGTTGTGTTGGAGGGGCTCTGTTTAGCCCCTTTCGAGCCCATTGATGAGGTGCCTGAGAAGTTTCTTACTCTCAAAACCATCTTTCTCCTAGCCATCTCTTCCCTAAAGAGGATTGGAGATATTCAGGCGCTGTCGGTTTCCCCCTCGTGCTTGGAATTTGCTCCCGGTATGGCGAAGGCTTTCATCCTCCCTAGACCGGGGTATGTTCCGAAGGTTCCAACTACGGTTGTCAAACCTATAGTGCTACAGGCCTTCTGTCCTCCTCCGTTTCGGACACCAGACCAGGAGAAACTAAATCTGCTCTGCCCGGTGAGGGCCTTAGACGCATATGTCCACAGAGCTGCCCTGTGGAGGGAATCAGAACAATTATTTGTCTGCTTTGGGCCTCCTAATAGAGGTTCTGCGGCGTCTAAGCAGAGAATGAGTAAGTGGGTGGTCGAGGCCATTTCACTTGCTTATGAGTCCTCTGGTCAGCCTTCTCCCTTGGCTGTCCGGGCTCATTCAACCCGGAGTATGGCTGCCTCTAAGGCATTTTTATCAGGAGTTCCCTTGTGTGACATCTGTGAGGCGGCAGGATGGTCTTCACCTCACACATTTGTGAAGTTTTACCATCTGGACTTCAGCTCCACCCCTGGGGCTCAGATGCTTTCGTCAGAATGTGCACTCTGATATTCATACAACGGACACCTGCTCGCATGGCGGCGTTGGTATTAGCGTTCCCACGGCGTTTACACGCAGCTCGAAGTTCCCTGAATGGGAACGTCTCTGGTTACGTATGTAACCTTAGTTCCCTGAAGGGAACGAGACGCTGCGTGTCTATGCCATACTCCCAGCATGCCCGTGAGCGCTTGCTTCAGTCCTATCAGAAGCTGTTGCGCTTGTGTTTCGGGGATGCTTTATAGTTTCCTGGTCGATACGTCACCCCGCCTATGACGTTCCGTCTCGCCATTGGACAGATTTCATACGTGCTTCATGACTCGTCACGCAGAGGCGTTCCCACGGCGTTTACACGCAGCGTCTCGTTCCCTTCAGGGAACTAAGGTTACATACGTAACCAGAGACGTTTTAATGATTTAGACCCGATGGAAGTGAAAGAGCAAAGACAAGAACTGAAGTTATATGTGATGATGCTGTAGTTTGTTTCAGTCTGTTGACACCAATAAAACAAGTTAATGTGCCAATTTACAGAAGATCTCAGACATCACCATAATGAATGAGCTGAAAAAGGGAACTTTTGGAGACAGAGAGGTTTTTCTGCTGTTCCATTTAACATGATGGCTCAGTTTAACATGTACTTTTTAAATGCAGATTGGATAAAAACACAGTGATCACAGTTCACACCTGCAGTGAAGCCCCTCCCACAACAATTCACCAATAAATACTGGGAATATTCCCATCATCCTACAAGAGAAGGACCAACTCCAGGAGTAGCGGCTGAAATCCGTGTGATGGTTAAAGATGGAGTTTATTAAAGAGGAGATTGAAGACATGAGTGATCCAGAACCATCCAGAATAAAACATGAAGATACTGAGGAACAAATAGGTTAGTGTCCATTCTTGATTCTTCATTGTTGATGCCTTGGTAGATGTGAATTAATAAGCAGTATATGGATGATACATGATAGAGAAAGACATCCAATGGATCATAACCTTGTATATAGCAGTTGTCAAACATTTTTACTATATTAACAAGTGAATGACAGAATAACAAGTGAAAGATCTGATCTCTGTTGTTTTCTGCTTTTAAATAAGGGTTCACTTGAACTGATTCTAACTGTATTTCTGTGTATTTTAGACCAAGTGAGAGTGAAAGAGCAAAGACAAGAACTGAATGAAGTGAAGGAGGAACATCGTAAGATCTGATCTCTGTTGTTTTCTGCTTTTAAATAAGGGTTCACTTGAACTGATTCTAACTGTATTTCTGTGTATTTTAGACCAGGTGAGAGTGAAAGAGCAAAGACAAGAACTGAATGAAGTGAAGGAGGAACATCGTAAGATCTGATCTCTGTTGTTTTCTGCTTTTAAATAAGGGTTCACTTGAACTGATTCTAACTGTATTTCTGTGTATTTTAGACCAGGTGAGAGTGAAAGAGCAAAGACAAGAACTGAATGAAGTGAAGGAGGAACATCGTAACTTTACAATTCAAAGAACAAAAGCCAAAAAGATACACACATGCACTCAGTGTGGAAAGAGTTTCACAAAGAAAGTACACCTTAACACACACATGAGAATTCACACTGGAGAGAAACCGTATACATGCACTCAGTGTGGAAAGAGTTTTACTCAATCATCAAGTCTCAGTGTTCATCTGCTCAGTCACTCCGGAGAAAAGACATTTAACTGTGATCAGTGTGGTAAAGATTTTATTTCATCAGCAAATCTAAAACAACACCTGAAAGTTCATTCAGATGAGAAGCCTTATGTGTGCTCTCTCTGTGGAAAGAGTTTTTCGTGGCTGGCCAACTTTATACGGCACCAGAAAACACACAATGAAGTGAGAGATCATGTGTGTTGTTACTGTGAGAAGAGCTTTACTGCATCTGTTGATCTGAAACGGCACCAAATAATTCATACTGGAGAAAAACCTTACAAGTGCTCACATTGTGACAAGAGTTTCAATCGGTCTGGAAACCTGAAATCACACGAGCGAGTTCACACTGGAGAGAAGCCGTTCGACTGTACTCAGTGTGGGAAGAGTTTCACAGCTTTATCCACACTTAATTATCATCTGCTCCGTCATTCCGGGGAAAAATCATTTAACTGTGATCAGTGTGGTAAAGATTTTATTTCATCAGCGCATCTAAAATCGCACCTGAAAGTAAATTCAGATGAGAAGCCTAATGTGTGTTCTCTCTGTGGAGAGAGTTTTTCATGTCTGAACGGTTTTAAACAGCACCAGAAAATACACAATGGAGTGGGAAATTATGTGTGTAGTTACTGTGGGAAGAGCTTTAATACATCTGGTGAACTGAAACGGCACCAAAGAATTCATACTGGAGAAAAACCTTACAAGTGCTTATTCTGTGACAAGAGTTTCACTCAGGTTGGAAACCTGAAAAAACACGAGCGAGTTCACACTGGAGAGAAGCCGTACGACTGTACTCAGTGTGGGAAGAGTTTCACTCAATCAAGTAATCTAGTGACTCATATGAGAAAGCATTGTTCTGTGTCACAGTGAGCAAGTGTTCTGTTAGATTTAAATAAAGTAAATGTGTAGTTAGTTAACTAATACACTAATGTTTGCTGTAAATGCCACAAGATTGTGTTTTAAATGTTACAGAACAAGAAAGAAAATTATTTTGATTGAACACTTACTCAAAGAAATACCAAAATTAAAAGTTACTGGAAACAAATGTAGAAAAACAACAGCAATCAGTTATTTGTTAATATATAAAACAATTCCCTGAATTTGTTTGTTTTTGTTTTGTTACTTAAAGCCTGTTATTACATATGCAGATGTATGTTTAATAACTGTACAATTCTCATAGATTTATTCTTTATTTGTTTTAAAATAGTGGTAGACAAAAAGCACTTTGGAGAAACTCAACAGCTGTGCAAAATATGAAAAGACAATGCAGAAGAGCAGAACGCATGTGGCGGAACGGAAGACGAAACTTGTAGTGCATTATAACATCTACAAAGACAGCTAGACAAAGCTAGACAGACTTTCTTCTCAAATATTATAAACAGCAACATAAACAACACACGCACTCTTTTTGCTACTGTAGAGAGACTGACAACCCCCCCCCCAAGCCAGATTCCCATAGAAATGCTCTCAGAAAGGAAATGCAGTGAGTTTGCTTCTTTTTTCTTTGAGAAAATCAATAACATCAGAAAGGTGATCTGCACATCCTTGAGTTGCGCTGCGGTCAGGCAGATCAGAACACAACCTGAGAAAGTAGTTACTATAGCTGTGTCCCAATGTGAAGGCTGCGTCCTTCGAAGGACACTCCGAGTGTAACGTTCGTGGGATAATTGCGCAACCAGGTGTTCCCTATTACCACTCCTGGCGCCAAGCAACAATGCGAGAGTACAGCCACCACCCTGATCATTCATTTAATAAAATCGAGTAAACAGCTATGGAGACAGAATTGGCTATTGTCATTTTTTTTATATACACTCCTGAACAAAATCTTAAGACCGGGGGATACATTGCAAATATTTGCATTTTGCGCTGGTGGATCATAACCGGGATGTAAGTACTGCTTCAAAATGCCAAAAGAAGAAATAGGAGCAAGAGACAAAATAGAGAGTAGGCAATTTATTGAAAACTGCATTTAAACTCAAACAGGCTGTTCATCAGCTGATCAAAAGTTTAAGACCATAACCCAAAAATAAACCTACAACATAACTAAAAGTGTCAGAAAAGGACTCCCGCCCCGCCGTTCTTGTTGATCACGTCAAACAATCGTTTCGGCATGCTTGATGTGACTGTTCCCAGGAGGCTGCTGGGAACATTGCTCCATGTGGTGAAGATGGCTTCACGAAGGGCATCCACGGTCTGGACTGACGTCTGTTTTTGTAAACTTCCCTTGCCATCCATCCCCAAATGTTCTCAATGGGATTTAGATCAGGAGAACACGCAGGATGGTCCAAAAGAGCAACGTTATTCTCCTGGAAGAAGTCCCTCATCAGGCGGGCGTTGTGAATTGCTGCGTTGTCCTGTTGAAAGACCCATTCATTACCGCATAGATGCCCGCTGCAACATGTCCACATAGCCAGCCGCCGTTTGACGCCCCTGGACAACCTGAAGCTCCATTTTCCCATTGAAGGAAAAAGCACCCCAAATCATGATGGAGCCTCCTTCACTGTGCCGCGTAGAAAACATCTCCGGTGGGATCTCCTTGTCATGCCAGTAACGTTGGAAGCCATCAGGACCGTCCAGGTTAAATTTTTTCTCGTCAGAGAATAAAACTTTCTTCTACCTTTCAATGTCCCATGTTTGGTGCTCCCTTGCAAATTCCAAACGGGCAAGTTTGTGGCATGGGAGGAGACGTGGCCTTTGAAGGCGTTTTTTGTTCTTGAAGCCCTTCTCTCGCAGATGACGTCTTATGGTTATTGGGCTACAGTTAGCATCAATAAGGGCCTTAATTTGGGTCGAGGAACAACCTGTGTCGTCACGGACAACCCGTAGGATCCTACGGCTCAGCGCAGGTGAAATTTTTTTGGGTCTACCACTTGACTTTTTTGTCCCATAACTCTCAGGATCTTTTAAGAAATGTAAAATGACTGTCTTACTGCGTCCAACCTTGGCAGCGATGGCGTGTTGCGAGAGGCCTTGCTTGTGCAGCTCAACAATCCTCCCACGTTCAAAGAGAGAAAGCCTTTTTGCCTTTGCCATCAGGAGATCATGACAGTGTGACTGCCTGAAGATCAATGACACGAAAGCCATATTTTTGTGCAGATTTTACCTTTTTATGCCTATGGTCTTAAACTTTTGATCAGCTGATGAACAGCCTGTTTGAGTTTAAATGCAGTTTTTATTAAATTGCCTACTCTCTATTTTTTGTCTCTTGCTCCTGTTTCTTCTTTTGGCATTTTGAAGCAGTACTTACAACCCGGTTATGATCCACCAGTGCAAAAAGCGAATATTTGCAATGTTTCCCCCGGTCTCAAGATTTTGTTCAGGAGTGTATATTTAAGCTATTTTAGATATTTTATGTTTATATTTTCATGTCTTTAAATGAGGGGCAATATATGAAGAGTTCAGATGCAAACGCCTCTAAATGCCATTTGAAATTTTCTTCTTTAATGATGATTTTTTTATCAAACTTGTATATTTAAGTTCAGTAATTTCACTTAAATAACAATTAATAGGTAATTGACCCTTCGCTAAGCCCCGCCCTCCCTAGTTACTGTTGCTACGCCTGTCAAGCTTTCGCGGCTGGCCCATCTATTATAGTGTGGATGCACCCGGTGTCAGACATTTCAATGAGATAATTAGTAATTTTCGGCGAACAAGTGAAATATCTGAGAGAGCAAGACAAAAGGCACTGCAGTATGCATTCGAGGGATATTTTCACGACATTATATGCAACCGATTAGAGAATAATTTCTTAAAAATTGAAGTTAAAGCCTAACGTTATAGTCCCAGTTTAAGCAGCAGCGCCTCATACGCTGACCGTTCAAATTGAGGAACAGCTATGTTCATTCATACACAGCAGGGTATGTGAAAATAATCTTAATAATTATAAATCAAACAGCTTATCAATAAATCTTGTGGAATAACACTAATACCGGGAGAGCCGCGATCGGATTGGGTTAAGTTAAGGGGTAACGTTAGTAGGACGTCGATTAACAAAATGCTGAAATATATTTTAAAGTCAGTGAGCCTTTGTCTTGTCTCTTAAATCGTCTTATTCTACGTTATATCATTATGAATAAAAAAAAGTCAATATTTCCAAGCAATAGGTGTTTTTGTTAAGCATGTCGACATTTACCAGTAGTTGTGAATGGGTCTCGCACAGACGCTAGATCACGCCAATCATTTCTCCCCTTGGCTTTTAGATTTTCTGGAAGGAAAACAATTCCTCTCACCCGTCAAAACTTTTAGTATACCGGCATCAGATTTGCACAATCCATACGCACAATGCTTCAGCATGTTCCCTCGTTCGAAAGCTTGCCAGACCTCCCGCGCATAGTTACGGTTGCTAAGACATGATTGGCCAGTGGCGGTTTTCGGGCGTGGCTTAGCGAAGGGTCAATTATCATTGCCATTTAAGTGAAATTACTGAACTTAAATATACAAGTTTGCTAAAAATCATCATTAAAGAAGAAAATTTCAAATGGCATTTAGAGGCTTTTGCATCTGAACTCTTCATATATATATATATATATATATATATATATGGTTATATGGTTTACTATTATAGAAGGTTTACTGCGTAGCTAGAGGCTGCGTCCTGAATAGCCAGATTACACTCTAAACTGTTCAAATTTGTTGGTTGTTAACTTATGTAAATAATGTAATGAAATAGCTTAAAAATATTAATAATGATAAAAAAACATAGGCAAAATATATAGCCTATATTCAAAAGTTAATAGTATCAAATATCCAGAGCCATGAATTCTCTTTTATGTACAAATTTATAGTTGCATCAAATAATGAAATAATGAATAGGCCTAATAAAGAAATAATGTACAATGTAGGCTATAATGCCGTTTTCGCGTTTCCACATAAGAAATGAAGCACGCAATGGTAAATGAGTTACGATGAAAAAAAAAAAGGCCGTGGACTGTAAAGGACCCAGCCTATTCGTCCTTCGAAGGACGCACCATGTACCCTTCGTGGGATTTCCTAATTGCGCAACCAGGTGTTCCCTATTACCGCTCCTGGCGCCAAGCAACAGTGCGAGAGTACAGCTGCCACCCATTCATTTAATAAAATTGAGTAAACAGCTATGGAGACAGAATAGGCTATATTGTCATTTATATATGTATATATATATATATATATATATATATATATACACACTATTATAGCCAGAATTGTATATTGGGGCAATATATAGGCTATTATAGCCAGAATTGTAAAATAAATTACAAATTACATAAGCAGAGAGTCTTATTTCTTTCGTTTTGAATTGTTCTGTTTAAAAGTAGACATATGTGAGGTGAGTAGGCCTACCTTTTATGCTGAGTTTCGTTCATTTATAGGCTAGCTAGCTAGGTAGCCTATTTACGTCTTATTTATTAAAAGCTTTCTGTTTGATGTCTGTGTGAAAGTTTTTAAGTATCTTTTAGTGCCGCTTTCAGAGCGCTCAAGTCCGTAGCCTATATAGCATTGTTTTTTTTCTCATAAATGCGAATACAATAAAATAAAATACAATGAATATTTTATTTGCTGTGGAGACTGAGGGTCAACCCTTCTTCATCTGGTGGAGACCGTAGGCTAGTATTACTGTGGTTTGCACAATGTAGCCTAATTCACAGGCTTGTTTTGATTTCATAGGCTAGGGCTTTTTATTGCGTACAGAAATGGACCATGGTGAATAGGTATATCAGCTTGTCAACCCTATTTGAATATTTAAAACCAGTTGAATATAAAAAGTACAGTGCAAGGTAACGTTACTCCGCTCGTCATCGGCAGCTGTCGGTCACAGTTGCGACAAGAACAATTCTCCGTGGACCGGTCCAAGCGCTTCAGATGCGCACTTTCATATGGGGGGACGTAGCTAGTTAACAAACAATTTATTATTGTGACAATTGACCAACATTTTGTTAGCTTACTTTAATTTTCAAAATAACCAGTGGGGGAATGAACTTCACAGCCTACCTCATAGGCTATTCATGTAAATGTGAAGTAGCCTACTTTTCCCCCTCACAGGACAGCAACACTACGCATTGTTTTTAAACTACACTAAAGCAGGCAATCCTATAGTTTAACTGTATCAACCTTGCAAACACTCAAATAAACCAATACAAAAATAAACAACGTCCAGAGCCATGAATTTTCTTTCATTTAACACATTTAAAGTTGTGTTAA